TCAGGGTTTAGGGTTCAGGGTTCAGGGTTCAGGGTTTAGGGTTTCAGGGTTTAGGGTTTAGGGTTCAGGGTTTAGGGTTCAGGTCCCATCTATTTTTAATAGTAAGCCACTCTTCTAAATTATTCAATTCTTCCTTTAATCTATTTCCCGTTTCCTCTTCACATTTATTCAGCAAATTCATCAGATGTTTATTTTCCTTTATATCTTCCATCTTTTTATGTACAAGGCTTATATTGTTTTCTATCTCTTGAGCCTTATTCATTACCCATTCTGTTTCACTTAAATTTTTCCATTGCACTACACTTTTTTTTGTCCAATCTAATTCATCCAGTCTGCTTAAAGTGGACATACTTTTTAATAATAATATTTCTTTCAAATCATTCCAATCTTCTTGAATAATCTTGCTTTTTTCATTCTCCATATTCAACAAAACCTCCCATTTTTCCCATGCCTCCAAAAAATCATTAGCTAAATTGATCCAAGATTTCCATAATTTATCATCGAATTCAAACAATTCTATTTTCTCTATTTCATTCATATCTTCCCATATTATTTTTCCATCTAACCATTTATCCAAAATTGAATTTTTAGTACTTTCTTCCTGTTCTAACTGTATATTAAAAATATTAATTTCCTCTTTTATTATCTTTTGCTTCTTTTCTTTATTATTTTCTATTTTTTCTTCTTTTTTCTCTTTCTGCTCCTTTTTTTCTTTTCTTTCTAACATATTTTTTTCTGTTTTCTCTTTTATCCTATTTTTCTTTGATTCCCACTTTTTTTCTCCTTTATTAATTAACTCTGAAAAGTTTAGACTTTTAAAATAATTATATTCCTTTATTCCCAATTCCTTTTTCAACTTCATTTCCCTCACTTCCCATTCCTTTTTTTTCCTTTCATAATGCTTATTATATTTTTTAAAAAGTTTTTCCAATTCTGTAAGTTCCACCATATTGACACCTGTTTCTTTTATTTTATCCCACTCCTCTTTCATCTTGTCAATCCATTTTTTTTCTATAATTCTAATACCATTTTCTATATCTAACATCCAACTATAACCAATAATTCCCATGGAATCATTCATGTCTTTTGTCCATTTTGCCATTGTACTTTGCATATGCTTTTTTTCCATTTTGTTCATACAAATTTCCATTACTTCAGTATATTTATCGATAGTTTTCAACCATTCGTTCATTTTTTCATTCCATATCCTTTTTATTTTTGCATTCCAATATATGAATAATCCTTCTTCTGCTAATTCTACATATTCTTTAAACGTGTCTTTTTTTCTTCTTTCCCAATATTCGTATAATTTTTCTTCTTCTATCTCTCTTTTTAGGCATGAATTAATCCTCTTTAATACTATTTGTACCTTATAATTAAGTAATTCCTTCTTTCTAAAGCATAGTATATTTTCTATATCTTTTAAATCACGTTCTTTTACCCCTTTAAATCTCTTAAATTTATCCTCCTTTTCTGCACTGTTATTCATAGGATTCTCATTTTTATGCTTTGTATACCAAAAAAAAAATTCAGATTCTTCATTCTCAATTGCACCAATATTATTTACTCTCTGTTCAATTCCATCAATAAATATCTTTTCTTCTTCATTCTCTTCTTCATTCTCTTCTTCATTCACTTCTTCATTAGTAACATCTTGACATTTTACATATAACTTATTTTCAACGAATTCTTCCATATTTTTTGTCCACTTATAAGACATGTATTTAATCCAAAAATCTATATAATTTACACGATTTGTACTCATACATTCAATCCACTCACTATATATACTAATTACCCATTGTTTTTCAAAATTTTCCATCCATTCCTGTAACTTATCCATGTATTCCAGAAGTTTTTCCACATAAATTTGTATATCATTTCCCCATTCTTTTATCTTTTCAATTCTTAAGCTATGAAACATGTTGAAATTATTTTCATCTTTTCTTACAACCGTTCTTATATCTTGTTCTTCACCACCTGTCTTTTTCATTTGGCATCTTAACTTTATTTCTTCTTGTAGGGTATTTATTTCATTTTCACAATAATTATGAGGGCACTGCAATATATAAAAAAAAATTATAAATTCAATAAATTCATTTTTTCTTAACATTATTTATGTCTTGGTTCATATAAATATTTTAAAAAAAATAAAAAAAAAACACGATAATAAATTTAAATATGAAAATTGTCTTACCTTGTTGGAACTCTGTCTTTCTTTTGATAACAGAAAATTATCTGTTCCTTTGTTTTCCTCAGTTAAAATTCTATAAACTCTTAATTTCAATTCCACACATTTATTATTCCTAGTCAACCAAGATACACCAATAGAATCCTATAATATATATTAAAAGTTCAAATTTTTAATTTATATTAGTAAAAAAAAAAAAAAAAAAGAATGAATATTCTTAAAAATAAATTTTATTTTTTTACATTAAAAGAAAGTTGACATGCATAAATTATAGAAAAAAAAACAACAATATTCTTAAAAAAAGTGAATATGCTTATTTTTGTGTGATATGCTTTTAAAGATGATACAACTTCATTAATAAAATTATTAGCTGCACTGACATTAACATTAAATATTTTAGCATTTAAAATATTATTATATTCCATATTACAAGGTTATATTTTTTAATATTAAAATTAACTTTTCCTTCTAAAAAGTCATTTTTTTTTTATAACTATGTGATACTCTATATATTTTTACTCAAGGATATTTCCCTAATTATAAAGAAATATATATAAGTAGATATATTTTTAAAATTATAAAAAAATAAATAATAATTTAACAGATAAGATAATTATTTCAAATTTATAATATACACAAAAAAAAAAAAAAAAATGTATATTAATATAATTAAAAATCGTTTCTTTTACAAAAATGAAACAATTAATATTATAAATATAAAACAATTAATACTGCTACGTATGTTTTTATTTTATAATTTTTTACTTAGAAATATTACGTAAATATATATATATATACATATATATATATTTATTTATTTATTTAAAAAATGAAAAATATATAAATGATCATTATTTAAAGAATGATGTTGTTTTGTTAAATTTTAATTTTTTTTTTTGACAAATTATATCTATAATACATAATTATTAAAAAAATATATATATATTTTTTTTTTTCATAGAAGCATGCAATTAAATTTTTATAAATGATTTAATTGGATATAAAAATCTTTTGTATATCTAAAAAATTGATAATTTTAAAATTTTAGTATTATCTAGAGGTAAAGATCTCCTCTATAAAAAAAAAATATAGCAAATATACATATAACATATTCCATTAATACATTTTTCTTATTAACTATTTTTGTATTATATAAATGCTCAATGTTTAATTTTTTTCTTATATTAGAGTTATGTTAATTATTATTTTTTTTTTTTTTTTTTTTCATTATCTTAATCGAGTAATCGCTTTAAATTACTTTCAGAACGATCATAATTTATATTTTTAAATTTATTTGATTTTATTATTATGGAGGAAAAATTACTTGATTATTAAGCATTTTTTTTTTTTTAGTAGAGATTTATTGATAAAATTATTCAAAAAAATCAAATAAAAATAATGAATTCATGACAATTTTAATAAGCGTTAAATTTGAAACAGTAAGATAAAAATATAAATACTTTTTTTTTATCATTATTGTGTACCAAAATAAGTACTAAAGGATAATACTGTAAAAAAAAATAGATAATTTTTTTTTCATATTTTAGATAACTTTTTCTTAAAATCTTTATATAAACTATTATAAAATTTTTTTTTGCTATTTTACTTTTATTTCTTTAATAGTTTTAAAAAATTTGTAGAAAATTTTACTCTTAAGAATAAGAACTATCTTTTTCTGTCTATTAATTTTAAATGAATATATTATAGTTCTGTGTAACTTTTTAGAAAATTCATGAATCTGATAGCCCTTAAAATGAAAAAAAAAAAACAGAAATTACAATATATTATTTCCCAATGATGTAAATTTTATTATTTTTCTTTTTTTACTTTTATAAAAATTTGCTTCAACTAAATAGTTTGTTTAATTTATAATTATTATTATGTTTTTCATATATAGACAATATATGCAATTATTTAATTTGTGTTTAATTATATATTAAAAAAACACTCTTAGTTATTTTTTAAACTACTTTACACTGCATTATTGTCATACATTCTTACGTTTACTAGTTATCTTTTGTTTAACACATATTTATTTTTGTGAATTCAAAAAAAAAAAAAAAATTAATATTTTATTATTATTTATTTTGTTTTTTTTTTTTTTCTGAGGAAATAAAATTTTATGTGCATTATAAAACTTCGTTCTTATAAATTAATATAATTTATTTTTTCTTGTATTATATATTTAGTTTTTTTTATAAAATATTAATTTTAGTTATTAATATATTGTTAAAAAAAAATTTTATTTCACGAATTCTATTTATTGCAAATTGGTATAATAAGTGGTATAGCAGAGATACAAAAAAAAAGTTACGGATATTAAATTTTATTAATTTGTTTTTATATTATTTTAAATTAATACAATTTTCTTAGTGTTAATTTATATTTTTTATGTTTTATAATAAAATTTAAAAAGTATTTTAATAATTTAAAAGGTTTTATACAGTACAGAATTACGAAAACAATTGTGTATGAAACATATGAAGTAATTATTTAAAATAAATTTTAAAAGGATCCAAAAAAAATTTTTTTATTAAAAACATTATATTTTTATTGATATAAAAAAAAGAAAAAACAATAATAATAACAATAATAATTAATAACATTATAAAGTGTATATTTTTAAAAATTTATTGAAACTGCAGGAATATAAATTACTAAAATAATAATAAAAAAATAATACAATATAGATAATTAACTTCTATGTAAATTTTGCCATGATATCAATGCATGTTATTAGATATGTTTTGATTAAGATTTATTAAAACAATAATACATTAAAATTTTTTTTAAAAGACAAAGTTGACAAAAAAATTGCGCACCTGCAATATATATTTTATAAGCAGAAGATAACTCATAATAGTTAAAATTAATAAAAAAAAATTATAAAATTAAAAGTAAAATTTTAGTGTCATAAAATTTAAATAAAAATAATTAATATATTTTAATAACTTTAAAAAGTTAATTTTTAGTAATTGTAAGAAACAATATTGAATAATTACGCATGCAAATATTTTTTTATGATTATGTTGATGGTAGTAATGATAATAAAATGATTTACTAACTGGGTGTTCGGTGACTTTCCTATAGTACTGAACAAACATATTAATAAAGATAATGTAGAGTTACCTCTACGGCTTTGATGTATTTATATATATTTTTAAATACTTTGAACGAGTGATCCTTAATTATATAATCTACTTCATTCAACATCCTTTGATTTCAATAGGCATTTATTTACTTTAATAAAAATCCTTATTTTTATTAAAATTTTAAATTCTTATTGAACCTTGATTATTAATTAAATGTAAATTACTTGTTTCTTTGTTGAGTTATGTTCAGCAATTAATATATATTGCTGTTGAATTAACAAAACATAAACAATTATTGACAATACAAAAAATTATATAAATATTAATTACATGAAAATTTTATTGTTATATGTATAAAATTTTCTTTTACAAAATTCATCAATTATATTTCATTCCCCAAAAAAAAAAAATTATTTTTATTTTATTTTTTTTTTATTTATTGGTAACAAATCTTTTTCCAATTGATTTTTTTTTTTTATCAATTTTTTTTCGGACGATCTTTGTACTTTTTTTTTAAAAAAAGTACAAACAAAAAAAATTGATCATTATTTTTTTTTTTTTTTGTGTGTGCATGATCAACTTCGTATTCTTCGTTTAACTAGTCCTTTTATTTTTCAAAAAGGTTAATAAAACCTTTTATTAACCATAAAATAACATTTATGTAAATATTAATAAATGTGATAATCATAAGGCGTATATTCGGTAATATGATAAAACAATGATGATCATACTGTTAGCATCGAAATGTGTTCTAACATAAAGTTTATGTATTACTTAAAACACGTTTATAGCATTTCGTTTTTTAGAAATGTAAGTATACTTTTCATTTTACATAAACGTGAGAATCCATATGTATATATTTTTATCTTTAGCAAGAAATAGCTGGGAGGTATGATTATCCAGAAAAAATTCTATCTTCTAGTTTTTATTAATAATATTTATATATATATATATATATATATATATATATATATATATATATATATATATATATATATATAATTAATTCGTGAAAAGGAATTAATTTTTTCTGGATAATCATACCTCCCAGCTATTTCTTGCCGAGAGAGAGAGAGATATATATATATATATATATATACATATATATATATAAAGATAAAATTTCCAGTTTCACTAAAAAAACAAAAATATAATTTTATTCATCTATTTTTTATTAATAACGTTTATATATATATATATATATATATATATATATATATATATATATATATATATATATATATATATTTAATTCGTGAAAAGGAATTAATTTTTTAATAAAATTATATTTTTGTTTTTTTAGTGAAACTGGAAATTTTATCTTATAAAAAATAGGAATATTATGGAAATGTCCACAAGAAAATTATGAATTTCCTTATTAAATTAAGTAATATAGAAAAAAGTTTCGATGAAAATAGAAACATTTAAACGTGATAAATTTTCCTTTATTAGCAAAAAATAGAAAATGTATATCATTATTGTAACAATTTTTAAAACACTAAACATATAAATGTAATTTAATTTCTGGTTATACATATAACATAAAGGAATTACAAGATGATATTGTTTTTTATTAATGTGTAAATATTTTTATATAATGTAACAAATTTATAAAGTTCTAATGTAAAAAAAATTAATATTGAAGTTACGCTAATATATTACCTATAGCTAATTATATTGAAATGTTTATTATAGACTAAAACATTTCACTTCTACGTAATTTATTTTTTTCGTTATAATTTATATCCTCCAAATACTAGCAAACATATTGATTAAAATATATCTCTTTAGAGTGTAAAATTTTAAATATTTATATGTGTTGGTATAAGACATTTTAATATTATTCATGATATTTTTTTTTTACATTTATTTCAGGATAGTCAGTATTAATTTTACTATATAAATTTTTATTCCTATAAATTATTTTAAAAAAAAAATTCCCTGAAATAATTCACAAATGATGAGAAATTCATTTATGAAATAATTAAACACACAAAAAAAAAATAGTACTTATGCTTTTTATATATGAGTTATATATTTCCGACATTGAGCAATTTTAAAATTTATAATATTTCGAAATAATGTTATCCATAATTTATATATTTTCTAAGTGGATATTATAAGCATGTTTTAATTCATTTATTTAAAAATTGTGATGCTACATTAAAATTTATAATAATCCATAAATGTATTTTCTAAACAAGTATATAAATTTATCTATTTTAATTTATTGATATAAAATTTATTGAAAAAACAAAAAAATATAAAATAATATAAATTTATGAAGTTGCACATGTGAGTTCAAAAATTATTAAATTATAAAAAAAAATATG